TAGATTTCTCTCTCCATCTCCCCTGCCCCTCCCCCTGCTCGTGCTCTCTCTCTCACTCTCTCACTCTCTCAAATAAATAAATAAAATCCTAAAAAAAAAAAAAAGCGAACAAAGTCCATTGCAAGTTCAGAGGAAGAAGAGCACTTTCCTTCTGGGAGAAGACAACTCCACAGAGGAGGTGGCTTTTGAGCCTGGGCTTGCAGGATATGTAGCATTTCCCAAAATGTTCCAGGGGTGGGCAATTCATATCCTTGGAAGCAAAGCACAGGCTCTGGAGATAGACCTCGGGTGTGAATCATGGCTCTGTCACTCACTGTGCGGCCACAGACACAGTGGCTGACTTCACACTAAATTCACTGAGCCTCAGTGTTCTCAGCTCTAAAATAAGGACTCTAGGAGTGCCCATTTTAGGGGCTGCATGAGATGTAAATGAGGTGATTTATGTAAAGCACATAGAACACTGACCGTAACAGTCCACTGACCATCATTTTTAGTATCATTAGTATTACTACTACTTACCCTCATCATGATCGCTATTTTCAGGTGGGAATGCAGGCCCTGCCTGGTTCTTAGTCCTTGTGTCATGTCTCATACCAGCCGGGCCCCCCGCCCCTGGCTCTTCCTGCGGCTACTCCTTCCGGTCACTCAGTCTCACTTGCAATATCACCTCTACCAAGAAGTCAAGGAGCTCCCCACCCCATTCTCTATATTATCTTCTTTGCTTTCTTCACAGCAGGTATCCCTTCCTGAAATTATCTTACTATTTTAAATATTCACTTACTTACATTTTTTTACAGATTTATTTACTTGAGAGAGAGAGAGAGAAGAAGGGGCAGAGGGGGAGAGAGACTCTTAAGCAGACTCCCCACTGAGCGTGGAGCCTGAAATGGGGCCCAATCCCATGACCCTGAAATCACGACCTGAGCTGAAACCAAGAGTCAGATGCTTAACCAACCGTACCACCCAGGCGCCCCTCACTTCCTTACATTTTCATTACCTCCTTTCCTCTCACTGCACAATAAGCTCCATGAAGAGATTCTGTCTCTCTTCTTCACAACTGTACCCCGAGTTCCTAGCTCAGTACCCAGTACAGTAGGCACGTAGTAAGACCTTGATAAATACTGCCTTGTCCCTGAAGTCATAGGACATTGGTCTTCGATGGCTATGGTGGGGATGGAGGGATTAGTGAAGAAGAGGGAAAAGCTAAAGTTGAGTCAAGACTCCAATTCTGAGTTTCCAATTCTTAATCCCCAGAAGATCATGGTGACCATTCCTAGAAATGGGGATTCAGGAGTAGAAGTCTGCTGGAGAGGGCTAAGCAGATGAATTCAGGACTAGGCATACTGAATGTGAGCTCTGAGGGCAACACAAGGTGGGATGTCTGGCATGCTGCAAGAAATATATAGGACTGGACCTGAAGAAGGAGATTCACTCAGTCAGTCATTAATTGGTCCAGAAAATATTTATGGAGCTCAACAGCAGAGAAGGTACTGTGTCAGGTATGAGGATATAAAGCTGAATGAAACAACTCTGCTCTCTAAAAATTCAGAGATTAATGGACCAGAGATAGCAATCTGGGAGACATTTTCATGGAGAAAGTGGCTTCCAGGGATAGCTTAAGCTGCCAAGAGCTATAGAGAGCCAAGAATGGGGTCTGGGACTAAACCATGGTGAAGGCCCATTTCCAGAGTAGCAGGTAAGCAGCAGGTGACAGATCCAGAAGGAAAGTTGTCAGAGCAGTGGTAGATCAAAGGTATTATAATGCCAAAGGCAACACACAGGCACTCAGCAAGCATGAGTCACCGGCAAACGAACAAATAAAAGACCCTCCTGCCTTTACTCATACTGTTCCCTCTGCCCAGCATGCCTTTCGTCCCAATTATTTACCCAACATCTATCTGTCATCTCTAGACGCTTTCCCTGATCCTTCAAATCTGGGTGAGGTACTAGTTCTATGTGTTCCCATAACACCTATGCTTTACAATGTGCGTTGGCCACAGGGGATGCTCTTCCCCCCATCTATTTTTTCTATCCCTCTAGACTATGAGCAACTTGAGGGCAGAGACTGTGGGTTTTTTTTCAATTTCTGTATCTTCTCTTCCAGTTATATGCTGGTGCTCAATACAGGTTTGTTGGATGGACAGATGTTTGGATGGATGGATGGATGGATGGATGATGGATGAATGGATGGATAGATGGATAAATAGATGGACAGATGGATGAATGGATGATGGATGAGTGGATCTATGGATGGGTGCATGGGTGGGTGTGTGAACAGACAGATGAACAGGTAGACGGATGGACAAAGAGGTAGGTGGATGAAACAACTCAAAACTCTCACCTTGGGACCAAGCTCTTCAGATGATTACACAGAGATTGAATATACCAGCTGCCTTTCTCCACATGCCGAAAGGATACGTAGCCAGGGACAGTGGCCAGGCCAAGAAGGAAATCCGCCTCATCGGGAATACTGTCCTGAAGGGAAGGGGATACACGCTCAGGATTTACAGCATCTGCTTCAATGAAAACAGGAGGTTGTATCTCTTCACCTTGACAGGCCTGGATAAAAAAGAGTTTGGGCTTATGAGCCAGACCAGGGCATTGCTGGGCTGTGAAGTGAGACATGATCTCCTGAATGGGAACAAGGGTCCCATCTGAAGAGTAGACAGCTCCAAATTTCCCATGGGTCAGAACACAGAACACAAAGCAGTCTCCATCAGAATGGCCTGGATGACACTTATATTCCTGCAGAACGTTGTCCAGATGTCCTTTGGTCACATTATCATATACACGTACACTGAACCCAAGCCACTCAAACACATGCCTCAAGTGCTCTGTAAAAAAAAAGGAGAGAAAGGGGAAATGATAAAATGAAATGAAATTGAGTGGAATGCAATAAAATGAAGGGATGAAACAATGTAGTTATAAAACTTGCACAGCAAAGAGCCTGAAGCTTGGAGTTTTTTTACTTTCATAACAATAAAATTTTACAACTTACGACCCGCCTTCTTATAGTACCCACCGTGCTATCACAATGGTCCTGAGAGTCAGCAGAGGCCCAAGTTTCATCCTATTTCACAGATAAGGAAGCCAAGGCCCCAGGACTCTCCCACAGTCACAAACTGGTTAGTGATGGAACCGGAACTCAAATATGGATTTTCTCTAGCTGACGCACCATGCTTTCCCCCAAACCACAGAGTCCTAACTGGTCAGGGACTCTTGTCACTCTTTCAGTAGGTTGGTGACACCCGTGCTATGGTTTAAATGTTTGTATCCCATGAAAACATGCTCAACATCACTCATCATCAGGGAAATACAAATCAAAACCACAATGAGATACTATCTCACACCTGTCAGAATGGCTAAAATGAACAACACAAGGAACAAGCAGTGCTGGAGAGGATGTGGAGAACAGGGATCCCTCCTACACTGTTGGTGGGAAGGCAAACTGATGCAGCCACCCTGGAGAACAGTATGGCGGTTCCTCAAAATGTTAAAAATAGAACTACCCTGGGACGCCTGGGTGGCTCAGTCGGTTAAGCATCTGCCTTCGGCTCAGGTCATGATCCCAGGGTCCTGGGATCGAGTCCCGCATCGGGCTCCCTGCTCAGCAGGGAGTCTGCTTCTCCCTCTACCCCTCCCCCTGCTCTCTCTCGCTCTCTCTCTCTCTCAAATAAATAAATAAATAAGAACTACCTTATGATCCAGCGATTACACTACCAGGTATTTACCCATAGGATACAAAAATACAGATTCAAAGGGATACATGTACCCCAATGTTTATAGTAGCATTATCCACAATAGCCAAACTATGGAGAAAACCCAAATATCCATCGACTGATGAATGGATAATGGAAGATGTGGTATGTGTGTCTGCATACATATATGATGGAATATTCCATATATATATATATATATATATATAACAGAATGTTATTCAGCCATCAAAAAGAATGTGGATGGAGCTAGAGAGTATAAATGCTAAGTGAAATAAGTCAGTCAGAGAAAGACAAATACCATATGATCTCACTCGTATGTGGAATTTAAGAAAGAAAACAGATGAACATATGGGAAGGGGGAAAAGAAGAGAAGGAGAGAGGGAAACAAGCCATAAGAGACTCTTAACACTAGAGAACAAACTGAGGGTTGCTGGAGGGAGGTGGGCGGGGGATGGGCTAGATGGGAGATGGGTGTTAAGGAGGGCACTTGTGATGATGAGCACTGGGTGGGGTTTGTTTGTTGTTGTTGTTTTAAAGATTTTATTTATTTATTTGAGAGAGAGAGAGAGCATGAGAGGGGAGAGGGTCCGAGGGAGAAGCAGACTCCCTGCTGAGTAGGGAGCCCGATGTGGGACTCGATCCCGGGACTCCAGGATCATGACCTGAGCCAAAGGCAGTCACTCAACCGACTGAGCCACCCAGGCACCCCTGAGCACTGGGTGTTGTATGTAAATGATGAACCACTAAATTCTACTCCAGAAACCAATACTGCACTGTATGTTAACTACCTAAAATTTAATTAAAAAAAAGTTTATGTCCCCCAGAATTCATGTGTTGAAATCCTAACCCCCTAGGTTAGGGTATGAGGAAGTGGGGCCTTTGGGAGGTGATGAGGTCGGGAGGGTACAGCCCACAGGGAGACCCCAGAAGCTCTCTCGCCCCTTCGAGGCTGCAGCACAAAGACTGCCATCTAGGAAGCGGGCTCTCACCAGCCATCAAAATGTCAGAACCTTGGTCTTGGGACTTCCCAGCCTCCAGAACTGTTAGAAATAAATGTTTGTTGTTTATAAGCCATCGCATTTATGGTATTTCGTTAGAGCAGCCCAGGTAGACTACAACACCAAGGACATACAAGAGGCCAGAAACATTTATGATATCATCCTTACATTTAAATGGAAGATTAAAATTACAGAAAGAAAATGTGAAAATAAAAAAGTGATTTTTTTAAGATCCCAACTTGCATGTGATATACTATTTCAGATTTTCTTACCAGCATCTTTATCAGTCCCTGGTCTATCCAACATTGAGGTAAATTTGTGGTTATTGACAACAACACAGTGGCCTCTGTGTTTCCGATCCATCCTGTACACACTTGCCTTCTTGAAAGAAGAAGAGATAGAACCACTTATTAGGGAACCGTCATTTTAAGAGTTTCATGTTTCCAACCAACCACTCCATTTATCAGTACCAAAGGCTGAGAGTTCTCCAGATTCTGGTCCTGGTCCAGAATTAAGCACTTAAGTCTAAGGTGGAATGCCAGGTACTGATTAAAATTCAGACTGCAGACTGTCAATTAGCAGTGTCAAATAACAGAATATGTATTTTAACTTTGGCAAATCAAGAGCTTATGCAAAAGTGTCTTCCTTTTTGGATCAGCAAAGTGAAGAAAGCGTAAGTAAGGATCTAATGAGACAACAAATCTATCAAATGCTTATCACTTGGCAGACGGTAAGATCCTGGAGTGATCTGACTCCTGAAAACAGAGAAATCTCTTCTGTAGAGATCACAGTGAGAAGTTTAAAATACAAGCAATTTTTTTTTAAATATTTTATTTATTTATTTGACAGAGACACAGCAAGAGAGGGAACACAAGCAGGGGGAGTGGGAGAGGGAGAAGCAGGCTTCCCAAGGAGCAGGGAGCCCGATGCTGGGCTCGATCCCAGGACCCTGAGATCATGACCTGAGCCGAAGGCAGACACAATTATTTTTGAAGGCTATCGTTAACAGCATGTGATGACAAATAAGCTGAGTTGGCTTCAGTGGGGCCTCTGTGTGGCTAACGTGATCTCCTAAAAACACGGTATGTCTTTGATCCGAGCGGAAAAGAAGTCGCTTCGGTCGATGGAAAAGAAAATTCTACCCGGAAATCATTCAAAGGCCCTGTGAGGCTGTGAGGGCAACAGCATGGCCTCCATCGTGGCCAAAGGTCAACACGCCTCTGAGTGTCTCAGAGAAAGGTGGGAAGGGCAGAGATAATCACAGAGAGAGGAAGAAGAACAATGACAGAAACAAACAGCTCTGAGCCCTCAAAGTCATTAAGGGATGGACCCTCGAGGGAGAAGACCTGAAGAAACCGTCTAAACCTCTGTGCTGGTTTCAGAAGGTAGAGTGGCAGCAGATGCTCCCAGCATCTCCGTGGAGACCAGGGAAAAAGAAGTTCTCAGACTCTTCCAATATCTGTCCCCAAACATTTAGATATCCTGACAGAGGATGGGCTGGGAGTCAAGATCCCATGAATCCACTCCAGGGTTTCTGGCAGAAAGCTTGGGTGGGCTTTAGCAGCATGGATCTGTTACTGGATCCAGAGGGGCTATGCAAACACCACGAAGCAGAAAGAGGGGAGACAAGGGAAACCCAGAGACCCAGTCTGGGCAGGGAGAAAATCAGCCCACAGCCCAGAGATTAATGTAATCATGTCTTGAGCCCTGGCTAAGGAATGCATTGCTCTGAAGTGTTCTTGCAAACTCCTTGGTTCCTCTAGATAAGAATCCGCCTCAGAGATGAAGCCAATGATGGGTTGTCACATGACAATACGGGAAAATGAAACTTAAAGCTTTTCTTCTCCCACACCCCACAAGTTTTCAGTAGAATCCAGTTAGCTCTGCCCTGGTCTCTGAGGCCTGAGTTAATTATTAACCATAGTTAAGGGTCAGTCCTGTGTGCGCAGCTCAGGCTGAGTAAATCCAGTTTCCCCAGACCATAGAACATGCCAAAAGGGAGCCAAACTGTAGTTGTACAGAGCACCTGTAAATTCCTCCTCACCTTAGGAGAAGGTAATGCTTCAGGGAAGTCATGTCTGAACTTCCAAACCACAGAATTGCAAAACTGAAAGAAACTCTTACTTTTCAGAGAAGTGAAGCCATTGCCTGAGCTCCTGGAGCTACGCAGTAATAGAGCTAGGTCTTCGGGGGGGAACCTTGGAGTCACACTGCTGGGTTCAGATCCCAGCTTCACTCCTTTCTAGTCGTGTGACCCTTCAGGAAAGTACTAGACCTCTTGAGTCTCCACTTCCTCATCTTATTTATTTAAATTTGTAAATTTAAATAATTTACAAATTTAAATAAATCCACTTCCTCATCATTAAGCAAGGATAACCATGGTGCCCATCTCCAGGTGATTGAAGGATTCAATGAGATAAGCCCTAGAAAGCTCTTAGAACAGGGCCTGGCACCTGACAAGTGCTCAGTAATGGTAACTCTCGTTCAAGATTGTATCATGCAATCTCCTACTTAGGCCGAAAGCAGAGATTCCTAGGAAAGCAAAGTGTTTGGACTCTGAAGTTTAAATTTCCAGAAAAAAATAAATAAGGAATGGCCTCTGATAAACTTTACATATCATGGAAAGACTACACCAAAAACCTATTCATAAGCCATTCAGCCCTGTAGCAGATTCTGGAATATTTTCCCCGAGGCCATGGTTTTTGGGCAAGGATTCAGGGCACTAAACACACCAGTGACTTCTCTCCCTCTGGCCTCTCTCCCTCCAAAAACTACAAGCAGCATCTGGAGCCACACACCAGACATTTCCACAGAGTCAGCATTCCGCTCTGTCATGCTGGCCTGTGGGTTCCAGCCTTACCAGGGCTTCCCATCCCTCCTTCCAGAGGGTGAGTTCATTGGAGGGGGTGAGGGGGGGAAGGAATTGCCACATTCCCCAGATGCTATTGCGCAAGGGTTTCAAAGCAGAAACCACCCTGCCTTTTCCATCCTCCCACAGAAAAGCTTGGTATAATCCATGCCTGAATGGAGGTAAGAAATGAATTCTCGGGGTGCCTGGGTGGCTCAGATGGTTAAGCGTCTGCCTTCGGCTCAGGTCATGATCCCAGGGTCCTGGGATCGAGTCCCGCATTGGGCTCCCTGCTAGGCGGGGAGCCTGCTTCTCTCTCTGCCTCTGCCTCTCTCTCTCTCTCTCTGACTCATGAATAAATAAATAAAACATTTAAAAAAAATATATTAAAGAAAAAGAAATGAATTCTCCACTCGTTTGTTAATCTCCCAAGTCACCTCAAATTGCTTGGTGTGTATCAGATGTTTCTATTCCTGCCACACTGATCCAAGTTATGTAAAGTGTATTAGAAACACCTACCATTACTCCTTGAAGGCTGATCTTGCCAGGAACCCTTCTGTTGAGGAAACAGGAAATGAATGAAACGCAGGAAATCCACAGTTAGGATGAGGGCTGAAAAGCTGGACTTGATGCAGAGAAGGACGGATACCTTGTCCCCAGGCACAGAAAAGATCCGCAGGGACTGACAAAAAGAGAATCGACTCTGCTTTCTCAAAGGAGGAGGTTCACAAAGACACAGTGACAAAAATATGATGTATGGCACATGCACAAGGATATTTATTCACTGCATTATTTGGAATAACTAAAGACTAGAAATAACCTGAATGCCCAGCAATAGAAAGTTTAGGAAAGAGCTGTGGTCCATCCACACAGTGGAGCAGGACACAGAAGACACTGTATACTTCTCCATGAGATACTATTACATGAAGGAAGTAAAGTGAAGAACAGTATTTTAATGGGCTCCCTCTCTTATAATAAAGGGGAGAGATGGTTGGGGTTTTTTTCCCAAAAGTAGAAATAGGATAAATAAAAAAATAAACTTAAAAAGAAATGGCAATCTATGGGGGAGGGGAAGAGGGGCAGGAATACAATGCAGCCTCCTCTGAGTATACTCTCTTGATAGTTTTGACTTCAGTCCCACATAAACATTCTAGATCAACAAATACAAAATTGAAACATCACCAAGGGCCCCCATCGTTTGTGCATGATCCTCCCCATTCACTCCACCCCCAAACCCCTTGCCCTCAGCCTGCAACAGAAAGCTGCACAAGTGTTCTGGGGAGGTGTTAACCCTGCCACTGGCCGTGTAGTAGGCACCCCCAGGAGACCTGTCTGAGGTGACCGGCAAGTTGCCCCCAAGTCTCTAGGGATGCCTCCCTGCTGGAGCCCTCCGGGCTTCTGGCTGCAAGAGGGGGATTTATCTTCAAGCCCGACCAAAGCTGCACCGCCTCACTCCCAGGCTGCACAATACCAGAATTCCCTGACTCGGAGGGAACAAAAATGCAAAAGAACTTCGCTTTCACTTTCCAAAACACTTCCGGCCATTCTTTCCCCAAGCCGCGTTTTCCTTCCTGCAAAATGCTAGAGCTTCTCTCGGCAACAACCAAGGGCCAAGCAAGCTGTTTACGGGGTTTGTCCAGTTGGTTCTGAAAGCAGCTGAGTGAACTTTCTGGGATTAAGGGCAACACAGATGCCTCCCCAGGTTCTGCCCCAGGTTTTCTTGGTTTGTCTCCTTCCTTGTGCTGATAAAATCAGCCAGAACAGGGACGAGAGATCAGCTTTAAGGTCTGCCTGGCTCTTTCTCTGAAAATGTTGCATCTTCTGTTGACACCCCCAATTCTGTGTGTCAGAGAGGAAGGAATGAATGACATGTGGCCTGGCCACATTCAGTCTTCTTTCCACTGTTTACAAATAATAAGGGCCCCAAAAAACCTTAAAAGGAAGCTGTTGTTAGGTCTCCTCAATAGAGAGACGTGGCTCTCAAGAAAGTCCTATGCCACACTCAAAAATATTGATTTGGTTTTTAATGTTAAATTCATTAATTAGGGGGTGTGATACCCTCATTAAATGCAATGGTTGGCAGTGCTCTTTTACATAAGAAAACCTGTCAGGTGCAAAAAGGCAGTGCTCTTTTACATAAGAAAACCTGTCAGGTGCAAACCTGTCATGATTTACCAAGTTTCATTTTATCCAGGGGCAGGATTGCCTAGGTAACTTTTAAGACACCTTTCAACCCCGAGAGTCTAGGAAAAAGTATGTAATGTGAGGTGCTGCCTCCCAGAGCCTCCTACACTCTCAGCACCATGACAGCTTAGCCCCCGTCACCAGGCCACGGCCAGAGTCCAAGGTCCACAAAACAGCTACACTTTAGATACCAAGGTTGAGCCACACCCCTTACAAACAACTGAATTTCTACAGCAAAGAGCAAAGTCCTCTGTGTGTGTGTGTGTGTGTGTATTTTCTACATGCATGTAAGTATCTAAGCATACACAAAACTAGTTGAAAAAGTGGGTGGGGGGAAGGATTGAATTTAGTGGGCAAAAAAAACTTCTGGGGGAGAAAGGAGGGCTCTTATATAGCAGAATGCTGAGTGCTGACATAAACGTGGAGAAAATACTGGAGTTTGAAAATCATTGCTTTTCTTTTTTAAATAAAAGATTTTATTTATTTGAGAGAGAGAAAGAGAGAGCACAAGCAGGGGGAGCGGCAGGCAGATGAGAGGGAGAAGCAGATTCCCTGCTGGGCAGGGGGCCCGACCAGGGGCTCGATCCCAGGACCCCGGGATCATGACCTGAGCCGAAGCACTGAGCCACCCAGCTGCCCCAAATCATTGCTTTGCAACCAACAAGGTAAATATTGAATCACACTAGAATTATCAATGGGTACTCAATCTAGGGGAAGTTCTTAATGCAGAGGGGGATGGTTGTATGGTCTTAAAATGTCTCCCCACCACTTGCTTATTAGTTGCAAGGGAAAAATAATAACTATACAAAACTAACTTGTACAGTGAAGAAACCAGACAACACCTTGACCAAATAATCAAAATTAGCATCACAAATGGGGGGGCAGGTGGACACTGCTGCCTCCATAAGTAAGGCCCTGAGAAGGGTACATCATTCAGGTAATATTCTGGTGAGAATAGGTAGCTTGAAACACATCATAGGCAAACCACACACCAAAAATGAGGAAAATTCTATTTTTTGTTACAAAAGATGATAGTGGGGGTGGCTGTATTCTTCAAAAATGTCATAAAGAAAAGTTGTAGAAATGTTTAAGATTAAGGGAGACTAAAAGACATGACAATACCATAATGATCCCAGATGAATTATGTATTGGAGGGGAAAAGGCTATAAAAGATATTACTGGATCAACAGACAAAATTGAAATGTGGCACCTGAACATGGTGAAAGTATTAACTTTCCTGGCATCGATAACTGTACTATAGTTCTGGGGGAAAAAAAAAGTCCTTATTCTTAGGAAATACACTGTAAAGTATTCAGCAGTAAAAAGCCATGATGTGTGCAAGCTACTCTCAAAAAGTTCAGAAAAAAATTATGTGTTTACATAAATGGATGATAGAGAAAGAGAAAGTGCGCAGAGGTTAACGCACATGGGGTAAAAGTCAACAGGTAGTGAATCTGGTAAAACAGTAAACAGCGTTCTTACTATTATTCGCATTCTTTCAACTTTTCTGTAAGATTGAAATTATTTCCAAATTTAAAGATTAAAAATGGTAAGTGTAAAAATATGAAATCATGAAAGTAGTAAAGAAGCTATCAAAAAATTTTTTTAAGAATAAAAAATAAAACTTCCACAAACAACCCAATTAAAAAATTGGCAAAGGACTTGAATAGACCTTTCTCCAAGAAAGATAATATAAATGGCCAACAAGTACATGTAAAGATGCTCAACATCACTAATCATTAAGGAAATACAGATCAAAACTACTATGAGATGCCATCGCACACCCATTAGGATGGTTACCATTAAAACAAGAAAATAGCAAGTGTTGACAAGGATGTGGAGAAACTGGAATTCTTATGCATTACTGGCAGAAATGCAAAATGATGCAGCTGCTATGAAAAACAGTACGAAGCTTCCTCAAAAAATGAAATAGAGAATTACCACGTGATCCAGCAGTTCCACTTCTAGGTACATACACACGAGAATTGACAGCACCATCTCAAAGAGCTATTTGTATGCCCATGTTCATAGCAGCATTATTCACAAGAGCCAAAAGGTGGAAGCAACCCACACGTCCACTGAAGGATAAAGGATAAACAAAATGTGGTAGATACACACAATGAAATATTAGTCAGCCTTAAAAAGGAAGAAAATTCTGACATGGATGAACCTTGAAGACATTATAGTAAGTGAAATATGCCAGTCACAAAAAGACAAATACTGTATGAATCCACTTACATGAGGTAAATAGAGTAGTCAAATTTAAAGAGATATAAAGTAGAATGGTGTTCGCCAGGGCTAGGAGGAAGGGGGGGATGGGGAGTTATTATTTAATAGATATAGCGGTTCAGTTTTGCAAGATAGAAAGAGTTCTGGATATTGGTCATGCAACAATATAAATGTACTTATCAGTACTGAATTGTACATTTAAAAATAATTAAGATGGTAAATTTTATGTTGTATTTTACCACAATTAAAAACAAAAAATTTCAAGGCCAAGATAACTCCATTGATACTGACTATGTTAGCAAAATAGAACTGCCCAAATCTGCTGGGAAGAAACATAAATCCCAGGAAAGAATGTCATATGTGTCTCTCAAGGATCATGATCATGTTGTTAAGAAACAGACTGCAAATCTCCCGGTGTTTCCCCTGTACTCACCTTTCTACTGCTGGGCACTACAGGAACCCAAATCTTGTCCTCTGGAAAGGACAGGCTACATAATTTGGGGGCTCCATGCAAGATAAAATGTGAGGCCCCTTGTTCAAACATTATTAAGAATTTTGAAACAGTGACTGCTGAGCATTAAAAAAGCATGGGCCGTGCAGGGACTACACAGGCTATACGTTCAGGAAGCTGGTCTTGATCAAATCGCATCGATAAGAACAGAACCATTTCACAACAACCCAGTGGTGTCCGGGAGTCAACTCAAACCAGCTAGTGAAAGCCATCTGTCAGAGTTTCAGAAATTCTGCAATCGAATTGATGTCATGTTGGTAACATGAAATCAGCCATGGTGGGTGATTTACACCAAACACTACACATCAGGGTCTCTCTCTCTCTCTCTTTCTTTTTGGGGTGGGGTGTTGAGGGTGGAGAGAAGAGCTAGTGGTTAAACATTTACCAACACACCAATGAACCTACCGGTAAGGCTGGTAAGGCTTCTAACAACTCTTCAATGTCTGAACGGGAAAATGGTTCTTCCTCTCTTTGATGCAATGACTCAGGTTCTCTGTCTACTGGAGGTGTCACTACCTGGGAGGCTGCAAATAGAATCACAGAGTGTGAGACAAAAATCATCATCTGACTAGTAGCAATCCAAGATAACCAATCATCAAAAGAAATTATTTTATAGGGACCTGAAGATTTATAGTGCCATTTGCTTAAAGAGGCCTACACATACACCTAGAAAAAAAAAATGTGAACTTATAAATTGTTTTTCTTTATCATTACATTCTCATTCCTTTTATTATATTTTATTTCCTTTGTATTTATGTTTTTATTATTCTTATAATTTTATTAGTTCCTTAAAATTACTATATGCTTTATTAAATACTATTTTGGAACTTATGGTATTTTTTTTCCTAAGATTTCATTTATTTGGCAGAGAGAGACACAGCGAGAGAGGGAACACAAGCAGGGGGAGTGGGAGAGGGAGAAGCAGGCTTCCCGCGGAGCAGGGAGCCCGATGCAGGGATCAATCCCAGGACCCCGGGATCGTGACCTGAGCCGAACGCAGACGCCTAACGACTGAGCCACCCAGGCGCCCCGAGAACTTATGGTATTTAATGTGTCAGATAATGGCCAAGTAGAGATTACAAAAGCATTACCTCGAAAAATAAAACCAGAACTCAGACTATAGCAAAAAAGATAAAGAAAGAAGAAAAGAAGGAAGGGAGGAAGGAAGGAAGAAGGAAAAGAAAAAAAATATTCAAGAAAAAAACATTCAAAAGTGGTGATTAAATAAATGTTATGTATATAAAATGTATTTCTATGGAACCATTAATAACAATGAGCTATGTCTGTATTATGTACATGGGGAAATGTGAGATATATTAGGTGGGACTAAACCAAGTTATAGGATATGATTAGCATGATTTTAGTTAAATATATATTCATCTGGCTATTTACACACACACACACACACACACACACACACACACACACACACAAACTCTCTGTATATACTCCAAACAGCAAACAATGATTATCTCTGGGGAATGGGCTGACAGTAGATAAACTGTATTGTCATTATTTGAATTTTTATTTAATTTTATTCTAATTATGATACATTATTTTTAATAAGAAATTTAAAATACTAAAGCAAACACCAAAGCTAAGAAATTATCTTGGTGGTCCTTAAATAGAGCTTGTGTCCCAATCGGATACAATGAACTTTGTCTTTGGATCATATACACTTGAGGGAAAGTCCAAAATCTGCATACCTACCATCTTTTCAGTTCTTTAGTCCTTCATCCTAAATGGAAGAATTAAGCCCAAGCTCTTAGGACTATACTAAAGTCAATACTGAAATATTAATTGATATCTATGATATAGTAATAAATATATATATTTGATCTCTGCCCTCTTTTTCCTGGCACAGAGCTCCTAAAACTCTTGGAATCTCTGAAATGCAAAGTGTCTCTTGCTAATAAGATGGTAATGATGACTGGTGATTGGGGCTCCTGGGCAGCCTCCAGAGGGGGTTGGGCTGGGAGCCAGAGGAATAAACCTGTGGTCAGAGGATTGGAATTTTCCACCCCACACTCAGACCCCTGGGAAGGGGAGAAGGGCTAGAGGTTGAATTAATCATAATGGCCAACGATTTACTCAGTTGTGCCTACATATGAAGCCTCCATAAAAATCCCTAACTGAAGGGGCTTGGAGAGCTTCCAGGTTGGTGAATATGTAGAGATGCTGGAAGGGTAAGCTGCCTGCCCTACGCATTTCTTACATTTGGCTGTTGCTGAGTCAAATCTTTTTATAATAAACAAGTAATTTAGTAAGTAAACAGTTTTCCTGAGTTCTGTGAGCTGTTCTAGCAAATGACTGAACCTGAAGGGGGTCATGGGAACCCTCAGTTTGTAGCCAAACCGGTCAGAAGCCGTGGGGGTTCCGGGGACCGACTAACTTGCGACTGGTGTCTGGAGTGGGGGGGGGCAGTCTTAGGACACTGAGCCCTTAACCTAATTTAGTTAAGGTCTGTGCTAACTCTGGTTAGTGTCAGAATGGGATTAAATCATAGGACACCCAGCTGGTATTTGCAGAGACTTAGAGAATTGCTTGGCATGGAAAAATCCTAGCCATCTATGTCAGAAGTGTTCCAGAAGTGTTGGTGTGATAGTAGCAGAGGAAAACAAGTTTGTTTTCTTTTGACACCCAGAAGAGATCACACAGCAGGGAGGTTGTAGAAAAGAAAAATCACAATCAGAATTCTTCTTCTGATATAAAGCTCAGGTCTCAAGATTCACTGAGGCATTTACTACATAAACAGTAGAGTGCCTTCTCCAGAGTTCAAGTATCCAAAATCATCTGACCACCTACCCTGTTTATTTTGTGGGAGATACTAACTACAGGAAAATGGCAATGTAATCAGAAAAAAAAAACTCAGCATTCAGCATTCAGTGAGGATTCTAAATGTGCTTTTGACATCAACTCCCTGCTTTTTATTTCTCACTGATAACTTTGGTTATAAGAATCATTTTTATTCTTCATAACTTTTTACTTAAATTATGCATTCATTCATTGCTTTAGTTATTTTTTGAGATTTTATCAATTTAACAACAGGATATTTTGTTCAACTCATTTTGTATTTATAGAATTTGTTTTTTTTAAGATTTTATTTTTTATTTACTTGACAGAGTGTGTGAGAGAGAGAGAGCGCGCACACCAGCAAGGGGAGTAGGAGAACGGGGAAGCAGGCTCCCTGCTGAGAAGGGATCCCTATTTATAGAATTCTTAGAAAGAAGTTTCCTTTTAGCTAGTTTTGTTTTTAACCAAAGACATCTGTACCCCAAACTGACTCATTGAATTAAAATATGGGTGTGGTATAAAAGCTTCATGAATATACTCATGCATTTTTTTAAGATTTTATTTATTTATTTGACTTTGTTTATTTGACAGAGACAGAGAAAAAGCAGAGGGAGCAACAGAGGGAGAGGGAGAACCTGAGCCGAAGGCAGGTGCTTAACCGACTGAGCCACCCCGGCGCCCCTATACTCATGCATTTTTATTTGTAGCTCTTGTTTAACAGAGGAGAAAGAGGACCTGGAAAAACACAAATACTTAGCATACTGATATACGGTAAGGCAACCAGGTTTGATTTCCACCTTTGCTATTACCTTTAGTGATACTACCTTTATAAGACAGGATTAAAAAAACAAACAAACAAGGAAATAAACTTCTTCTTTTCTGATAGTAATTTCTGAGAAAATGAAAGTTTTCATGACTTTCTGACAAACATATTCATAGCAACATGTTTAATTCTATGCCAGACATGCATTTTATAGGAGTTACTTCATTCGATCCTCAAGACCCCACGAGGTAGGTACTGTTATTATCCCCACTTTACAGATGGGGAAAGTGAAAGGTTAAGAAAAGAACCACTACCCCGTTAATAAGTGGAGTCCTGGCAACCGAACCCCACAGACCTCATTCTTAATCCCTATGCTATCCTGCCTCCTTCTTTTTTGTTATTTCATTCAAAATGTTTTTTCTATACTCTCACCCCCATGTAAGAAGGAGGAAAAGACATTTATCTAAAACTACCTTTCTTGGGCGCCTGGGTGGCTCAGTCGTTAAGCGTCTGCCTTTGGCTCAGGTCATGATCCCAGGGTCCTGGGATCGAGCCCCACATCGGGCTCCCTGCTCGGCGGGAAGCCTGCTTCTCCCTCTCCCGCTCCCCCTGCTTGTGTTCCCTCTCTCGTTGTGTCTCTCTCTGTCGGATAAATAAAATCTTTAAAAAAATAAAATAAAATGAAATTACTTTTCTTCACTAGAATATAAGCTCCAAGATAGCAGGAGCTTTGCTTTATATACATTTCTGTGTCTCTACCTTCAAAAACTGAGCCTAGGTCAGAGTATGCATTCAATAAATATGTCTTGAATGAACAGATGGGGAGGAAGTTCTGGCTTTCCTAAGAGAATATTATCAGAGTGATGAGTAAACATCATAATAGGACCAATTAGTTTAAGAATTCCCATGATCTTGGGTGCCTGGGTGGCTCAGCCGGTTAAGCGTCTGCCTTCAGCTCAGGTCATGATCTCAGGGTCCCGGGATCGCTCAGCAGCGAGTTGACTTCTCCCTCTACCTCTGTGCTCTCTTTCTCTTTCGCTTTCTCAAATAAATAAATAAAATCTTAAAAAAAAAAAAGAATTCCCATGGTCTTGTGCAAGCAAGCAAGTGTAAGCTAGTTACCTTTCTCTCTTTTATATTTTTCTATCTTTCTCATAAGGTTAGGTACAACTCTTCTGCAGAGATCCTCCAGTAACCTCAGATTATCTTCATCTATTAGACCTTGTTTCTCCAGATATGCCAGGAAACCTAGAGAGGTCTGCAAGAGAATCAGTGGAGTCACATTTACTTGCCTTCTGATGATCCATTCATTCTTTCAACATTACCTGCACGGCGACTAGTCACCAGATTTTGCAATGATGAATAAGGAACAGTGTTTGTCAACAGTACGGGGGAAGAGGCATTTCCAAGTAAGTTATCTATATTAATAACAAATACCAAATATACATAACTTACTACGTACTGGGCAGTGTTTGCTATATATTAACCTCAAAAACAAGCCGATAAGGGTAGATACTATATAACCCCCATTTTATTTTATTTATCTTTTATTTAAATTCAATTAATTAACATATAATGTATTATTTGTTTCTGGGTATAACCCCCATTTTAAAGATGAGATAACTGGGGTTCAACAACTTGTCCAAAGTCACAGAGCCAGTAAGTGGTAGAGCTGGTATTCGAACCCTGGCAGTCTGATGTCAAAGTCCCTCTAATTAGCCATTGAGCTACATTGCCTCTCACTCACAGCTGTAAATGATATACTTAGATTAGGGTGGCAACAAAACAGAGGCACCAAAGACACGAGGGGCAAATATTTAGTCTTTTAAAAGAAAAAAAAAATTTCTTAAATGCTGCTGGGAAAAAGCGCAAAGTGGCTAGTATTATTTTAGTATTGAATTACATGTGGGGTGGAAGGCACCATAATCTTTTCAGTGAACAGGGCTTCTCAGTGTATTAAGCTGGTTATGAAAAAATATGTACGAACGACCTTACACTAGAGCCCATAGAAAAGAGTAATTCATCAAAAGTGAACCTCTGCACACTATCTCACTGGGTACATGAGCATCAGCAGGGTGGGAACTGGGAAGAGGTCTCCAGACATACTGAAAGGTTGAATGTCTGGAAAGGGACAGAATGTTCAGGAACATTAAGAAGGAGGCTTGAGTGCAAACCCTGAATAAGAGCTAGGTCATGGTCGGAACAGGAGGCTGGTATGGGACCATGAAGAAACACACAGACACACAGTACGTGAGGAGTTTGGCATGTGTCCCACGCACCAAGGCGTGTCAGTAGTAGTTTTTAAGGAGAATAGTAACGTGAGCACATTGGTTTTTGAGTGGAAGTCTTCAAACAGGTTGGGGGAGGAAGGGAATTAAAAAAATATTGGCAGTAATATTAAATACTCTGGCAAAGAGATGATCAAGACCTGGTCTAAAGCCAGTGGTGGAAACACAGAGGAGGCACTGGGTTTGAGGAGTATTTCTGAAATAGAATTTGGTGAGTTGTGGAGATCAGCTGGAAGTGGATGAAGAAATGAAGGAAGAATCCAAGATAACTTTCGGTGGTGATACCACTCATTTATCCATCATTCATCTATGGCACAAAGCAGACTTGACATAAGCTGCTCTGGGAGGGGATTCTTGAGGGATGACTAGGTCTTTATTGCCAACATGGAAAAGGACATTCCTTTGCCATGTTGGCAATGGACAGGAAAAGGCAAAGTAAACCACATGTGGAAATGATGTGAAACTAAAAACCTGGTTATGAGGAGGACCATGTTGGCTTCAGCAAGAAGTTTCATTGGAATGAAGGAAGCTAAAGTCATATGGAAATGCACCGAAATGTGACCCAGAGTTGAGTTAGCGGAGAAAGGGTTTATACAAACTATCCTTTCAAGAAGTTTGGCAGTAGAGGGAAGGACGGAGACTGAGCAGTAACATAGGATGAGGAAGGGTTACTGAGCACAGGCGAGTGTGCGTGCGTGCGTGCGGTGTTTCCAAATAAGGCACTCAAGAAGGAACAAACAAGGGAAAGGCCAGGGTTACAAAATCTTACTAGATTTCTGTTCTCATCTGATCAAAGAAAGATTATAAATTTTTTGCAAAGATTTTTATTTTTTTTAATAATTTTTTGTTATGTTAACCACCATACATTACATCATTAGTTTTTGATGTAGTGTTCCATGATTCATTGTTTGTGCATAACACCCAGTGCTCCACGCAGAACGTGCCCTCTTTAATACCCATCACCAGGCTAACCCATCCCCCCACCCCCCTCCCCTCTAGAACCCTCAGTTTGTTTTTCAGAAAGATTTTTATTTTTAAGTAATCTCTACACCCAATGTGGGGCTTGAACTCACAAACACAAGATCGAGTCACATGCTCTACCAAATGAGCTAGCCAGGCACCCCTGAGAGATTATAATTTTTTAAGAAATTCCAGGGATAGGGAAGAGAGCCAAAAAGGCAAAGAAGAGTGTATGTCCCCACCTGCAGCCCTAGCACACCAATAGCTTGGCCAGGGAATAAAGCAGAAGAGAGAAGGGGGTGCAGAAAGATTTGTCCAGAATTCATCAGCTGGGCAAAAGGGTCAGAGGGAATCCACCAAAGTTCTGCAGTAGGTCACATGCAAATGGGCTCTCACTGAACCTTAAAACAGAAAACCTATTTTTGACAGTATCCTACCGGGAAGAAGAAAAGGGACTAAGACATGATTCTAGAAGCAATGATGGAAATTCTTCATACTTGGAAGACAGTTTATGAGATGTTTGGTAAATGACACCTTCTACACACACACACACACACACACACACACACACACACATACACAGTCGAAATGGAGTCCGTACTTTAAGAACACCACCCCAGTAAATACTAGCAGGAAGTGTCTGAAAGCTTTTGTTCTGCTTTGCTAAGCTAGTACATTTGGGTGTGGTTTCCTTTACATCCAACGTTCATTTGATTACTACCCGAGAATGGATTTCCGGACTGTTTTTGGGTCTCTTGGAAGGTGTGAAGGCAGCTATACTCCCATGAACTTGTACGAAAGTTATCAAAAAGGAATCCCAGAACACCCTACAAAGGTCATTTTTCTAACTCGAGAGAGACCGTGTGAATTTAGAACCTTTCCTTTTTGACTAAGGGAAGTTTAGGCCCTCCCCACCTGGCTGCTAAACAATTTATTTCTGTGACAAAATATTTTGCAATCTCAACAGCAGATAATGCAGCCTTATGAAGCCCTGGTACTAAAACCTCATCTGGGTTGCTCAGGGATTGTCCTTTACCCACTTCAAGAACATCCAACAGAGATCAATCTGGATTATCTAGGGTATATAACTCGGCCACAATTCTCACATGAAGAAACAGATCTCCTTTGGAATAAAGCTGAGATCATTTGAAATCCAAGCAGTGTACTTTTCCTGAATCTGACCGGCTATTACCACAGTTCTATGCCACAGGGAAATACAGTGATTGCTCCTTTTACTATCGTTCTGAATGAGAAAAGCATAAAATCCTTTGGCCACTTGAGCACGGGCCTTCAATGACTTAAAAGCTAATTTAGCAGGGGGCAAAATGTTTGGAATGCTTCTGGCCACAAACCACAGATGCCTGCAAGCTAAGGTCTAAGACCCACATAGGAATACAGAAGAAATACATTCCCCAGTTTTTCCTACTAGAAAATCATGGCTTGGTGTGAAGCACACCAGGGATTCCTGCCCATCTCCTCATCCCCCACCCTGTCGTGGTTAGTATGAACTTCCTCTCATGACACAGGGAGGGGTATAACCACAGAAAGTGGTTTCATTGTATTTATAAACCCAGAGACTGGAGAAATTGTGAGAGGCTGCTCTAAGCTGGAAGAGAATATTATCAGAATAACCTGGAGAGCTTTTCAAACTATAGGAAATCTCTTCTAATGCTGAGACATTTGGCCTCTGAATCCAGCTGCCAGTTTGCAGGAAATGCGGAAGACAGAGGAGCGTGCTGAACTGTACCAAGCACACACAATCAGCAAAACTCAGACTGGGAGAAATTCTACCCACCAATTGTCCCGGGCCTCTTCAACAGATAAATGTTAAAAAAAAAAAAAAAAAAAAGAAAAGGAGAGGTTGGAAGGAGAGGAGTTTAACCTGTAGATTAAAAAACACTCAAAAGAAAAAAACTGGCCAAGACTAAACTTGACATCTAGGGATGCACAGGTAAATGATAAAACCATAAAGAAACATCAGAACATTGTTACTATAAAAGCCAGGACAGTGGTTCTTCTAGGGGGTGGAAAGGGGTTGTGATTGGAATGGGGTAAACAGAGGGGTTTCTAGAGTGGCAAAATTCAAATTCTTGACCTGGGTGATGGTTTCAAAAGGAGGAGCCTTATAATAATTCATTAATCTATATGTTTGTTTTATGTCATTTTTCTACACTTGTGTCTTGTTGGTTTTTTTTTTAAAGAATAAAAAGATAAAAAGAAAAGAAAAGAAGTGTAAAAAACAAAAACAGAAATGTATCAGAACTTTCAGGGGCTATCTAAGGGAGAAAATTAGTAGATTCTGACAAGTGGCAGTAAGTATAAGAATGTTAGCCATGTATCTTTGCCCATCCCATCAAGGTGGCTTAGTTCATCCTGCTAATCTCTCTAGTTATTCATCGTAAAAGCATATAAACAGAAAGGGTTCAGGACATTTTCTCAGAAAGAGAAAAGGAAGATTGTATCCATCCCATTCATTCATGCTTTCATTCAGAGCACCATTTTGTAACAGATTCTACAAGGTTCTGGACCTATAATGATGAGTAAGCCTCAGTCCCCAGCTCCACGGAACCCACAACCAACCTCAAGAAAAAAAGAGCCTCAAGAGATGACTAATCAAAAGATATAGAGGCTAAAATCCCTGAGGGCTCTAAAAGAGGAAAAAAGATCTCAAAGACTGTGAGCAATGTAAACAAAATGAACCTACTCAGGTCTACAGGTCGGACACCAGGAAACATATTTAATGAATTAGTTATACAGTCCTCATTTGACCTACCCCATGTAAAACAGCTTCCCACTCCTCAGTGATTTTTCTGAAAATCAATTTTATTTGTCAATAATATCAGCTGATCTCAGGAGAATGTGATATGGGAGGGCTACTTGTGCAATGTAGGCTCGAGAGTGTGGGTGATATTCGCATTCCTAAGCTGCATGGGGGGGGTGGTTCACTTAGTACTACATTTCATAACTTCTATACACGTTACTTGTTTTTTGTGTGTTATCAGACATTGCATAACTTAAAATCTAATAAAAATAGCGGTTGATGGGGCGCCTGGGTGGCTCAGTTGTTAAGTGTCTGCCTTCGGCTCTGGTCATGATCCCAGGGTCCTGGGATCGAGTCCCACGTCGGGCTCCCTGCTCCTCCCTCTCCCACTCCCCCAGCTTGTGTTCCTGTTCTTGCTATCTCTGTCTCTGTCAAATAAATAAATAAAATCTTTAAAAAAAAAATAGCCGTTGAATAGCACAATTACAAAGTAATGTTAAAGGGTAAAATTTGAAAAGTGGCCCCTTCCTAAGTTAACTAACCTGCTTGTTACAAGTTTATATTAGACTCAAAAGAAAAACATATAAAGTTTTGAGGCCTGGAAGAGAGCCCTGCTGCTACTTTGTTACCCTTAAATATGACCTATGTAGCAATAATATTAATAGACAGCAATTATGTTATTATTAAAAATACTACTATTAGTTCAAAACACCTGTACAGCCCTCTACAAAGCACATCCTCAAACATGTCTCCTTTGATTTTCACAGAAACCCTACACAGGAGATAATGCAAAGTTCCTCAAAAGGACGCGCAGGGTCCCTCAGAAAGCACACCTAATGTAGACGACGAACGGCTCATTCTCAACTCCGCCATGGTTTCCTGCCTCCTCATTTCCACACATTTCTCTACGGGAAAACACAGGGGGTGCCAACAGCAGTTTAACCACTTACCACCTGATTACTAGGTGCCAAATTTTACCCACATTATGTTGTCTGATCCTCCCAGCAGTCCCGGAAGGAGGGAGTGTGACTGTCCACAATATGACACATGAGAAAACAGGGACTCAGAAAGCTGCAATCACTCACCCCACATCGAGGCGTTAGAGCCAGGACTAGAATCCAGGCCCGTCCAGCACCAAAGTCAATGTTCCTAAGCGCTGTATGACATCATCTCCAGCAAATAGAAACCCTTCCTGAAAGCCCTGTCTGGCATATTCCAACACTGATTATGGCAGTGCTCACAAATACCCCGCTCTATATGACACACTTACCATCTGGATTTTGGGAATCGATTCCCTCAGAAGGAAGATCATGTCCTTTAAGTTCTCTGAGCCGATGCTTTCTGACAGTTCATAGAGCAGGTTTCTAAGACACACATCCAGAGAGACAATAAAACCTCACACTTGCAGAGGACAGCATAGTAAATCAAGTGCTTTTTTTATAAACACTCTCTTTCATGTGAATGATCACAACCTATGAGTAGACAATTTTGAATCCCACTGTACAGATTCAAAACTAAAACTCCGAGCTTTAAGTGGCCTATTACATTAAGATAACACAATAAGGGGGCGCCGGGGTGGTGCAGTTGGGTAAGTCCCTGACTTGATTTTGGCTCAGGTCATGATTTCAGGGTTGTGAGATCAAGCCCTGCATCAGGCTCCACACTGAGCATGGAGTCCGCTTAAGATTCTCTGTCTCCCTTTCCCCCACCCACCCCGCACCCCCATGAGCACACCTGCTCGCTCTCTCTCTCAAAAAATAAGATTAAAAATAAAATAAAATTTAAAAAGATAACACAATAAGTGGTAGAGGCAGGCTCAAAGATCAACTAAACTGTGTTATATATTTGAAAGTTGCTAACGAGTGGGTTTTAAAAGTTCTCATCACAAAAATAAAATTTATAACTATATGTGGTGATGAATGTCAAATTTACTATGGCCATCATTTCACAATATATATATATATCAAATCATGATGTTGTACACCTAAAACTATTATAATGTTATAGGTCAATTATATCTCAATTACAAATAAAAAATCTTAAATAAATAAAATCGTGTTATCTAAGGTCTGACCCATGATAGACCAGATGCTTGTATGTCACCCCATGGGTAAAATATCTGTATTTTACCTCTCTGGGCTTCACCCAAAAATGTATGAAAATTTGAAACTGGACATGGCATAAATGATGTCCTTCCCTACCCCAGAGACACATCTCCTTTTTCATTTTGCTTATTTGGCCGCAAGAACACATGCATTCCCTCTCTTTGAGCCCCCACAGTGACTCAGAGGCAGGGCTGTCTGGGAACGGGAGGGTAAAAGGAAAGTGAAGGCCTGCTTTGTTGAGGCAGGCTTCCTTTGGCGGTGAGAAGCCAACCGAGGGAAGCCACTGCCAGGCCCAGAGCGGGGCTTTGAAAACCCTTGCTGACCTCCCGACCTCTCATCTCACGAGTACCTGCTGCAGAGAGATCTCCTGGTTTAAAAGCACTGTGTCATCCGAGAACGTAGGTAAGAAAAAGATCTTAATCCCAGCCTCCCTTCTTTTTTTTTTTTTTTTAAGATTTTATTTATTTGAGAGAGAGAGAGACAGCGAGAGAGGTAACACAAGCAGGGGGAGTGGGAGAGGGAGAAGCAGGCTCCCCGCTGAGCAGGGGTTCTATCCCAGGGCTCTGGGATCATGACCTGAGCCAAAGGCAGACACCCAAGGACTGAGCCACCCAGGTGCCCCCCAGCCTCCTTTCAAAGCCCAGTGGCCCGAATGAACACTAATTAGATGGAACACCCGCCCCCCCACTCCGTCTTGATCACAGACCCCTCCTCACCTGAACAGAGAGACCCTCCCTCGGGTAGGCAGCAAACTCTCCACTTGCTCTTTGCTTTGGTTGAGGTACCGCAGCAGCGATTTCTGCTTGATTATGTAGAGGAGTTCCGCTAGGAAGAAGGGGTCTTCCTCACTCAGCAGCTCCTCTTCCAATAGATGATCAAATATGTCTGAGGCCGAGCTGGACTTCTCCAGCTGCCTGTGGGAGATGCAGTCTCGGCAGAGAAACTTTAAGCCCTCCACATCTTGGTTCCCCAGCTTTGAATCAATAGTCAGAAGCTTCCCAAGGAAGCTCGACTGACCATTATCATCTGAACGGAAACCCGAATTTTGATCTTGAGATGTCATGGCCAGCCTGAAAGAGACAGAGGTGAGGCAGCACATGAGAGAGGAGGTATACACAGAACCCCAACTTCCCAGGCCTCCTCCGTTCCAGGCATAAGACTTTCCCAAAAGTGCTGAAAAATAAAAATTCCTGTGAGCTTGCTTCAAAAACCAAGTCAAAAAAATGAGCCCAACACTTGCGTGGTGACCCTTTTGAAGGTCTGGAGGGAGCTTTTTTTGGAACCCAATTTACCTTCATTTCTCCCAAATCAAAATGTCCCTGGTGAGAGCTAGTGAAAAGGAAGGATGACAAAGCACAATCTCTCCCTGTTAGAACTCTTAATTCATTTCCACCAAATGGCAGAAATAGTGCTTAGATTTACCCCTTTCATTTTAGAAATAAAGCAGTCTGGGGATTTATATTTCAGAAGTGTCCACTAATCCAAGAACAACCATATCGCACAAAAAGAGAAGCCATAATCCTAGACCCCAAAAGAAAGGGTGGTTTTGGACAAGAGTTGCTCAAATCATTAAAGGAAGTCACAAATTGCCTAAATTAGTATTTCCACCCGATCAGTTCATAAAGTTCATATGGTATTTTCTATACTAAATTCCATTCTAATCAGAGGAGCAATGAACGAATAAAATTTTTCAGCAATATTATTCATTCTATAAGGCCTGGTATATATTCCCTTTGCAAGACTTGGCTATTTAGAAACAAGAAACCACTTTCCAAAGGAAGGAGAATATTAACAAAAAACAACATCAATAACAAAGAGTGGTTATATCTAGGTGGTATAAATACAAATACTATAAATTCTCTTTTTGGCTCCTGTCTGAGTTTCTCGGATTTTATGCAATGAACACACATTACTTTTATTGTTAGAAAAATAAAATAGAGGGGTGTCTGGCTGGCTCAGTAGGTAGAGCATGTGACTCTTGATCTCAGGGTTATGAGTTTAAGTCCCACATTGGGTGTGCAGCTTACTTAGAGAGAGAGAAAGAGGGAGGGGGAGACAGAGAAAGAGGGAGGGGGAGACGGAGAAAGAAAACAAAAAATGGTATTTTTAATGTGATCTTCCATGAGGTCTTCCCTTCTAGTAGTAATCTGTGATACCAGAAACCAAATGAATGGCTTCTTGGAGACGGATTCCAATTCTAAGGTATCCTACGTTTGCCCTGCAGTTTCCCAAAAATTCCAATCTGTCTGGAGACTTTGTCTCCACTTGAGTTGGCCAGACTTCAAAGAGTCCGCCGGACTTTACATTTATGGACTAGCATATTTCCGCCTGTAAAAGTCTGTGTTGGAGCTTTCCTACGGCTTTTTAAACCTTCGTTTTCCCTGATACGGCTAGTAAATCCAGGCAGAAATAGTGCCATTGCCCACGAGAGTTTTTGCAACACAGTTTAGTCTGTGACTAAAGCAAGGAACAAGGCTAGAGTGCAAGACCTTAGCAGGGGAAAGGTGCTAATCACATACCTTCAGATCCAATTCCGTTGATCCTCTGGAGGTAAACGGTTCCGGGGGGAAATTGCCTGAAAATAAAGTTTTAAAGGAATTAGAATCCTCTGCGTAATCCAAGTTCCAGAGAAACTCCCATTTGCGCGGGAAGAGAACCCACGACTTGCTGCCTCTGCAAGTGAAAACTGGATCTCCTCTTTGGGTAGCCTTAATATATTTCCTGCCTACGTCATAGCTGCCTCGCCTGCCTTTTCCCCCCTCCCTCTTCCAGGTTTAGGATAACACTGACAAAGAGCGCCTCCTACAGGCAAGAATCACAACTTTCCACAACTGGACAGCTCGGGATTTTCCCAGGTTAAACCAACGGCTCCTACAAGTGTACTTTTGGAAGGCACTAAGTGTTCTAGCAATTCCCTTGGATCACTGAGGGTGAATCAAAGAAGAAAGAGAGAGAGAGGGAGAAATAAAGAAAGAGAGAGAGAGAGAGAGAGAAAGAAAGAAAGGGGGAGGGAGGGAGGAAGGAAGGGAGGAAGGAAGGAAGGAAGGAAAGAAGGAAGGAAGGAAGAGGGCGCCCGGGTGGCTCAGTTGGTTGAGCGTCTGCCCTTGGCTCACGTCATGATTCTGGGGTCCTGGGATCGAGTCCTGTGTCGGGCTCCCTGCTCAGCAGGAAGCTTGCTCCTCCCTCTGCCTCTCTCTCTCTGTGTCTCTCATGAATAAATAAATAAAATCTTGAAAAAGAAAGGAAAAAAAGAAAGAGGGAGGGAGGAGAAGACGGAGGGAGGAGAAGAGGAAGGGAAGAAGGAAGGAAGAAAAAAGAAAGGAGAGTTTATTTTCCTAACCATCTCCTTCCCCAAACTCACTTAACCTTTAAAATAAAACCCAAAAAGCAGGAGAAATAGTGGTCAGCCATTTTAACTCTCAAAAAACTGCATGTGCAAATAAAATTTTAAGGCAGGAAAAGGGGAGGGAGAGCTGGACTAACAGCCCATTTGGAGGTATTTGCAGAGAACACATCAGCAGACAAAACTGATGAAGTCTTTGGCCTCACATCACGTTCAAGTGCAGCAGGAAAGAGACTTTGAAGACATTAATTCTAAGAATAAAAACAATACCTTATATGCCAACTACCATGTGTGAGGCACTATTTTTTCAATTAATCATCCCAAATCTCTAAGATAATTACTATTAGCATGACCCCTCTTTTAAGATGTGAAAACTAAGACATAGAAAGTTTAAGTAATTTGTCCAAGATTACACTGTGAACCAGCGGGAAAGCCAAAACTTAAACCAGCAAATCTAACTCTGAGTCACTACACTATAATTCATTCAGCTAATTCAAATGTTCAGGGCTCTGAGAAGTGCAGAATCTTAGAAAGATACTTTATCTCTGAAAAAAAAGCAAGACTTATGATGCTTTATTAACAAATATATTTAAGTGCCATTTTCATGTGCTTGGCATCATCCAGAGAACTTCTATGTTTAAGAAAAACAAGCCCTATTACTCAGCCATAAAAATGAATGAAATCAGGGCTCCTGGGTGGCTCAGTCAGTTAAGCATCTGCCTTCGGCTCAGGTCATGATCCCAGGGTCCTGGGATCGAGCCCCGCATCGGGCTCCCTGCTCGGCGGGGAGCCTGCTTCTCCCTCTCCCACTGCCTGTAGCTCCCCCTGCTTGTGTGCTCTCTCTGTCTGTCAAATAAATAAATAAATAAATCTTTAAAAAAACGAATGAAATCTTGCCATTTGTGAAAACATGGATGGACCTAGAGGGTAGTATGCTAAGTGAAATAAGTCAGAGAAAGACAAATACTATGTGATTTTAGTTATATGTAGAATCTAAAAAACAAAACAAACAAATGAAACAAAACAGTAACAGACTCTTAAATAGAGGAAACTGTTGGTTACTAGAGTGGAGGTTGGGGGACACCTAAGATAGGTGAAGGGGACCAAGAAATACAAACTTCCAGTTATAAAATAAATGAGTGATGGGAATGTAATGTGTAGCATAGGAAATATAGTCAATAATTTTGTGATCACTCTGTATGGTGACATGGTAACTAGACTTAACATGGGGATCGTTTCATAATGTACAAAAGTATCAAATCACTATTACGTACACCTGAAACTAATAGGCTATTGTATGTCAATCGTACTTTAATTTTCAAAAAACTTACAACTTAAAGCATACTATGGGCAGAACAGTTTAATCGATTTAGTAAACCGTTCAAAAGATACTCCTCGTTGGTCCTGGAAACAAGTGTGAAAAACCCGATTGTGGCTTTGAGTGATGAGGAAACGATTGTGTGGGTATGACTTCTATAAAACCCCTACAGACAGACATGAGCACCGAGATAGGAAGTTCCATTTATTTTTGGAGTGTATGCCATTTGGAAATGTTCTTTACTACTACTAATAATAAATAAATGGTTCAGAGAAGAAAGAAAGAAACAAGGACAGACAAGTTCTAGTGGAGATGGTTGCACAAACAGTAAGTGTACTTAATGCCGCTGAATCGTATACTTAAACATCGTTTCAACGGTAAATTTTATGTTACGTATATTTTGCCACAATTTTTTTTGAAAGATAAAGATACACAAGCCCTAAGTCTTAGTCTTCTATTCAATTCCTTGTGGCATTTCAGAAGGTAGTTTGGCAAAACTACCACTCCTCACCCTGTTCATAAAGTACATTAGCTATTTCAACTTTGATGCAACAATATTAAATATTTAGCAAGCCCTTCCTCTGTGTACAGCACAGAATTGGGCACAATTAGAAAGGAAAGGTGAATAAAACATGTCTGCCTTCAAATAATTATGACCACTCCCATTTCTTGGCCCCTTCTTTTCTGAAGAACTGTCTAAAGTCAGTGTTATTAGCTATAGTCAGTAGATGAGGAAATCAAAGTTCACGGATGCAAAGTATCTTGCCATCATCCCAAAGCTAGGAAGAGATGGGAATTCTAGGTCTCTCTGATTCCAGATCCCATGCTCTCGATCCCAAGGCTACGGCTGCCTGTACCTCCATGTGCCGTGGTGCCTGTAACCACAGGGCAGGGTGTGGTGATTCTGCAATGAGGCTTCACCTAAGTGCCACAGGAGACCCAGGAACCCATCTTCACCTAAGATGCCTTGGAGGAGGAGGAGGTATTTGAGCTAAGCTGGGGAAGTAGAAGTAGAATAGAGATACATGCAGTAAAACTTCACCTTTTATCCTAGTACTCAGTGGAAACACTCAAACCAAGTTAACGGAGGTGAGATGGTGCGCCATTTTATTTGTATTCAGTATTTCATACTTCTTCCAATTTAGAGCACAGTAACTGAGGACATGCTGATGGCATGTTGAGAGTGGTGGAAAGAATAAACATTTCTTACAGCATCTTTCCTGATTGGTTGCCATCAACTGGGTCTACATGAAGAACCAGTCAAAACCTATATAGCCTTTTACAAGTGGTGAGAGTCTGCCGCTGCCCTGGTGACTAATGGGAAACACTGGATTGTTTCTCTTTAGTTCCGCCTTCAGAGTGGCTGGTGGTGGTAGTAGTAGGCTTTCCTTTACATCCAGGC